GTATTAAGAAAAAGCATCAAATCTTAGTTACAGAAGCATTAAGAGTGTGGCGTTGAGAGAGATTTGGGCTGACTCTTGGCCAAAAGGAGCTTGGAATTGTATGCAGAGAAACTGTTCTCCACTCTTGGATTTTTCTTGTGTCAGGGAAATTCAATGGTTATGTAGAAAAAGAGCATATGAAACTACTTGAGTGATTACTTTATAGTATGGGAAACATGAAGCAAAAGGGAACTTCTGCCAGTAGACACATGTTCATATAGGTGTGCTGGGATAATGCACGTGTGTGGTCTCCTTGGCTTGGTAGTTAGATTAAACATGCAGTTAATGTTACATGCTACTCCTAGTTATGGTTGTGCAGTTTACTGGAGAATCCCAGGACAAGCAAACAGAAACCACTGATATCCCAGGTATTGGTATAGTATAAATGGAGTAAGGAGAGTCCCTGAACTCTATGTGGACATTTTTCTAGTAATCATGTGGCATTGCTTGTAGAATTCACAAGTTTTGCTCTTAGGCACTTCGTTAGGATGAACTTGTTTTACTGGAATTTGACCGTCTTGATTTAAAAGCATCACCAATGATCTTCAGAGATCTGTATGTGAAAGTTAATCGTAATTAAAGGCATTGCCTGAAATCAGAAATGTAGAGGGTGGTCTTTCCTTTTCAAGTTGGTGGCTTTATTTTATCATAGAGAATAGAGTATATCTTTGGGGTGGTTTTCTTGTCTGCTAGGCTTGACCATGAGTTGCTTTTGGTCTAAAACCATCACTTTAGATGTCTTTGGCTCTTGAAATCAGGATTATTCTGTTGATTTCTTTATATACTCTCTACAGTGACCTTTAAAATTCATTTTACTTGTTATTGTTCTGTATTTAATGCAGTCTTGAGAATGTTTTTGTGACTAATAGGTATTTCTTTGAGAGAATCTTTATGTTCTGCATTCGATTCAAATAAAATTTGAGATTTAATGAAACAAATGCTTCTAGACAAGTTCAGAAGAAAACATCTGTGAGTAGTTTTCTAATGTCACTGTCATCTGAGCACAAATGTAGCACATTTAAATTTGGACTAATTTTGAATCCACTGATTTTGCTTGCTCAGTTTGAGATTTAGTCTTTTTGGATGAGTGTCAATGCTCAGCAGCATTCAACACAAGGGCTAAGGTATCACAGATGGTTATGTAAAACGCCTGGCAACTTCTGCAAATGTCAGTCATAACCTTTTTGTTCCACAGTCTTGTTTTCCATTATGTATAGGTACTACCACTTAACCTGGCTATAGACATCCTTTGGAACGTAAAAATTGTAAAGCAAGCTGGTTCTGCAAGTGACAGGTGATGCTGTATGCAGTGACAGTACTGGGGTCTGGTTGTTCAGAGTCAATTAAATTTTGTAGACAAGCTGTAAGAGAAAGAGTCTCTTCTAGAGATACATATTTAAAATGCTGGAAAAGGTCTCCTAGCCTTATAACATGATAAATGAAGAGTCATTTAAAATTATTAAGTAAATGCTAGCCAAGTCAGGTAAAAAGCTGATTTATTGCATCTGCCAGAGGATGTTTGTTCCTTTATAATGTATAAGCAGTTTTACTGTTTGGAATCAACCTTTGACATAAAGTCTTCTTCTTGATACTTACCTTCAGGTATAGTAACTTTGCAGTGTTTTCACAGATGAAAAATAAATACATGATAAGCATTGCTAATATGATAAACATTTAGCAAGGGGAATTCCGTGGTTGCTCTGATCTCATCTTTGCATCTATTATTTTCTTTTCCACCAAATTCCTTGGGTAATACAGATTCTCTTCTGAGAAACTGAAAAAGATGAGGAAATCTCTCTGATGGCTTCAGAGTGAAGCATGGCTGTGCTTATTCTGCATTGATAGTCAATTCTGCAGATATTGGCACTGAAACCTGCCAAATTCCTTCCAAACCTTCCAAGAGTATAATCTCTCTATGTTAGTGAAATGCTTCCTACACATCTGGGATTTGCTGAGAATTTTCATGCAAATTATGTGAGTTAGATAATCAAGCAGAAGTGGTATTCCTTGTAAAACTACAAAAACAGCTTGATTGTAAAAATAATTTGGACATGAGATGAGGTGAACTCTACAGGTCAAAATTCAGGTTTGTTTTCTGTTATATAAGTTTAAAAGTCAAGAGAATCTTTAACATTTGCATAGGTGCACTCACTGCTGTTTGGGGTACCCTGCTGTAAGAAAAGACGTCTCTTCTGACTATCTGAAACAGTTAATTGCTGTGTTGCTGTCCTCACCGTATTTCTGACTGCCTCTGTGCTATTTATTTTCTAGTTACTTTCTTGTAGAGTAAAATATATGCTAAAGAACAGATGGTCGTTAGTCATTCTTTAGCAGTCATTTCTCCCTAAATCTGACTTGGGGTGTTGATAAAGGCAACAGACTAATTGGTTCTTTCTAACTCTGAAGCAGTTCTTAAGTCCAGGTTTAAATTATTCTAGAAGGTTCATTTTTCTCTTTGCGGTGACACCAACAGGCCTGAATACAAAACACCCTCTTTTCTGAACATGTTTGTAGAGGTATTGTACTCAGCATGCAGCGCTCTCCACATTTAAGCGAGGGTTATAAACGTGTCATTTATAAATCCTGCCCTTCCATCCCACAATGTCCAGCCAGCACCTATGTGCCCTGTCCTAGGGGTTGTGTGTGAAGAAAGCGGGGAGGCTGGTGGTGTGACATCCCTGCTCCTGGTGACTTGCAGCAAAATCCAGCGCAGAGCAAGTTGGAACAGCAGGAGGTAGAAGCCTTTCCCTGGGACGTAGGAGGAGACTTACAGGGGTGAACATTATCATCAGAGCTAGGGCTTGTGCAGAAGCGCAGAATAAGCCAGCCTTCCTCCAAAATTTTAAGGGACTAAATATCTTATATTCTTGAAAGACAGTTTTCACAGCTCTCTACCCACTTAACGCCCCGCTCCAAAGCTTGTCTTCGGCTGTGTCTTGGAGGGAGGGGAGTTAGTGCTGAATCTCTAGCTCGTCTTTCCTCTGCTCCTGGGGATTTGCTTAGTTTGGGAGTTCCAAGAAGACCGCTGTAATGAGAGTAAATAAAATAACTGGCTTGGTTCAGTCATTAGGTCCATACTTGTCTTGAAGAGTAGTATGTGCTGCAAATATGTGTGTCACTGTAAGAAAATTCTTTAAAAAAGGGGAGCTGCATGCAGTCAAGGAAATGGGATCATGTCTGGATCTTAAGGACTTTATCAGTTTATTCCTTCATATGTCACCATCACACACAACCTTTCCATTGTCAAGAACCCAGACTTTTCCACACTGTGGTGAAAAGTGTAATGTGTATCCACTGTGGAAGAAGAAGGGAAAAAATGAGGGAGAGAGGATTCACATTCAGTTCTCGCTAAGTAAATTTAGCTAGCATTGCCACTGAGGGAACTGCAAGCATAAAATTAACTTCTTCTTTTTTACATGAATTTGCTTTTGATAATAGCAGCAGATAAAAACAGAAATGAATTCTGTTAGGCTAAGCCTTTACTCTTTGTAGTGGAAAGCTAGACAAGGTTTCCAAACAACCCATTTCCTGTTCTTATTTCTGTAAATACCTGATCTCTAGTATGCATTTATTTCTGGTTCTGTTTTCTTAGGGATTTTTAAATGATGTGGCCTAATAAATTTAATTTTACATTTTTAAAAATTATTTGTGTTTTGAAATCGGAATTTCAATATATTGTCCCACAAATCTTTGTTTATAATTATTTTCGTATTTTCTCCCTAACTGTTATCAGTTAGAGAAGTATCTTACCTGCAGTAATGGTTGATGCATAATGTCATAGGGACTGAATCAGCAAGGCAGTGAATGCATAAGCAGCTGATAAAAACAGGCTGAATTCCAATAGTAACAAAAATTATTTCCATTGTTTTGCTCTGTATCTGCCAATAATATACTATTTTTTTTTTAGCCTAGTGGTTGTCTGTGTAGTAAAGAATGCTGGAGTTTTCTACAGAGAAAATACAGTTAGAAGCAAAACATTCTATTTTTTCTATAGTTATTGCTAAGATTAATTTCTTTTCTCTCAGGGGTAAACTATTTTGTGTTCCTCTGCCTCTGAATACAGGAAGGTAAGAAGGCAGGCTCCTTCCAGCTGACACAATGAATCTTAAACCTGCAGTGTAATTTCATCCTAAACTCTATTCTCAAATCAGAATGTTTATTTATTTATTTACTGTGGGAGAAGTGCTACATTTTCCCTCTGTATTTGTTTTGTGACTGCACCTTGATTTAGAAATAGTTTAGATAACCCAGATATTGGAAGAATCTGGATTCCCGCTGAAACTTTCTAGAGGGCTCTGTTGGGTTTCTTTGTTTGTTTTGTTTTCCCCCCAAGTTTTCCTTCCCTTTCCAAGAGGTGTAAATGGCAAGCAACCCTCTGATTGGTGTTTTAAATGAAGATTAAAGTCTCCTGTAGACATTTGGTGACACATCTTAATCTCTTTGGTGTGATGAGCTGTCAATCATGTTAAATAAGGGAGCAATGTAGCTCTACTGTGCAAATTTCGTTTTATCACTTTTCTTTGATTTTTTTTTTCTGTAATATCTATATTCTAGTGACTCTCACTATTTTAATTCATATTTTTTCCAAATTAACTTCTACATGAATTTCTAAGTTAACTGACCTGCTCCATTTCAGACTGATATTCCCCTCGCGGATTTTTGTTGCAGGTCTGGTCTCAGCACAGAGCTATTAACAGAAGCTAATGTGGAAAAATTATAACGGGAAAGAGAAATACAATAAAATATTCACAAATGATTTTCTGCTCAAAAGTTCTTCTGTAACTATAGCACAGAGTAAAAATCAAACATGAAGGTGATTGATTGCATGTTAACTTCAACAAGAATTTACAGCAATTGGTTCTGTTTTGCTCTAGAGTATTGTTTGAGTAATACAATTTACTGAACAACTTGACTAACCAAATAAAGATTTACATTGCTTTTTATATTTTTTTCTCCACTAGCAGTTTAATGACAAGTTCTTGTTCATCTGATGACATTGATCAGGAAGAAATTCAGCTTGCTTTACAGGCTGCTAAAATTGCCACCAGAGAAAAGATCAGATCCAGATTTCATGGCAGCAATGATCTTATCCACCGGCTTTTTGTCTGTATCTCAGGTATGGGAGTGTCTTTTTGTTCCAAAAGCCTTATTCACCATTTACACTGAGATGCATAAAAATAGAGGGTAGTAGAACGGGGTACAAACAACATAGCCAGAAGACTGTGGTTTGGGGCTGAATTTGCAGCCTGATCTGGTAAGGTCTGTTGAGTGAGACCAGCTTCCAGAATCAAAGAACGCAGACAGCTTAGACCTGTGGTAATGAAGAGTTTGGCCATGCAACAGGCTCAGTTTTGTAGCTCTTCCTTTTTCTTGGTGGTGCTTTATGCTTTACAGGGACAAAATTTGATCCAGCAGTTACATATTGATATGAAATGTGTTTTGGTATTATGGTAATTTCGTTTAAATAAATGTGCAGTTTTTATCACTAACATAAACAAGTAATCCCCTCAAGAAGAAATAGGAGACAATTACTAGGAGCAGCACATAAATTTAAATAATTGGGGGATGGTAATAGTCTAGTAATAGTTCCATCCTTTTTTTCAAAACTCCTAGGTGTTGCTGACCAACTGCAGACAAACTATGCTAGTGATCTGAGAAGTATCTTAAAGACCTTATTTGAAGTTATGGCAACCAAACCTGAAACAGAAGACAAGGAGAAGCAAAAGAAAGGTAAAGAGATTTAAGTATATATATTTTTCTATCATTTTTGCTAGTAGCTGTATTTGGTTCTACGAACCATTTAGCAGAATTTCCTTAACGCTTTGTTAAATGTCTCTGCACAGTCATTTGACTTAAGCTTAAACCATGGAATTACAATGTAAACAAGATGAAGCTAGTAGAAATATATATGCATAGGAATATGTTTTAAAGCAAATTTTGAAAAAGTTGTCATTTTCAGAGTGCTTCTGCTCATTTTCATATCTATATGGATAGTAGACTAGTGTTTCTAGACAGTATGGTTATAATATAATGTACACAGAGTTTGAGCGATGAGGATTTCTGTTTTCCTAGTGCTTTTACATGAAACACTAAGATAAAAGTTAGTTAAATTTAGCAGAAAACCCTTCAACTCTGCAGTGAAATAATATGTTACGATACATAATGGCCCTCTAGTGCTTACGTTGAAACTTCTCCTTTTGGTTTGTTTTACAGTTAATCAGGGTTTAAGGAATGCAGCACTGGAAGATTGTGCTTTATGTCAAGAAAGTATATCATCTTCAGAACTTGCAGCAAAAGCCAGAGATGGGGACTTTGAAGGTACTTTCTTATTTTTGAAAAATAAAATAAAACAAAAATGAGGTATAAAAAATAGTCATTAAAATAAAACTCATTTATAGTTTGGCTCTTGAAAGTGACTGTAAGATGTTTCTGTACTATGATATATAATATTATAATTCAGATGATAAATCAAACATTTGTTCTAGAGCTCATTTTAAAGCAACTTGAAACTTCGGGTTATAGAAATTGCCAATTCCTTATGAATACTTTTGTATTAATGTAGAAGGTTTTTGTATAAAAAAGACTTTAAAATAGTATGTGACACTACATGTCACAAGTCTCAGATAGCTATGTAAAAAAAGCAAAGCTGTAAGGTTTTCTCAGGCAAATCTAAAGAGATCTTTTGTGTCATTAGGCTTGCATGGATTTGCTATTTTTTTTTTACCTCACAGAAAACATACTTTTCATATTTTCTGCACTTCTCTCTGAAAAAGATGGTCAAAATATTGCTGTTGTCATATTCTTGGCCATGCCCATATTACCGGAAAATAAATTAGAAAAAGTTAGTTATGAGAGACTGTTCTAAGGGTGTGCCCAAAATGCTTATATTACTTGAATATAAGCACTATATGATACATACTTGAATATAAGCTCACTGATATACACCAAGAGTGTTAAAAATAATAATTAAAAAAGCATATGTAAGTCTCAAAGGAAAAAAAGCATATATAAGTCTCAAAGTTTAGGGCAGTTCGAAACACTGAGGGCTCAGAGTTGGGTTTTGTGTTTGGAGTTTTTTTGTTTGCTCTTTTGACAGAGCTGCAATAGTGCTTAGATTTTATATATATGTGTGTGTGTGTATGTGTATATATACATATATATATATAGTGCTATAGCAGTAGTGTGTTAAGTATTGTATAGGTAGTGAATAAAAAGGCATCAGACATCTTATAGTTAAAGAAAAAGAAAAGAGAAGGCAGATTTATGGGATACAGCAGACAAGAAAGCAGCCAGCTTTGGTCTTTGGACACAATGGTGATTTTAGCACACAAGGAACCCAACTGTTGGGCAGGTCTGTGGTTGGGGAGAAATACAAACCAGCCATGACCTGGGAAACTATCCTAAACTTTCCTGAAATTCAGCTGTGTGGTAATCTCCCTGTGCTTTAAAACCTTGTTCCACTGTTGTCTCTCCTTGTGTGGATGTGTGCAGTGTCTGTCCACATGCACCACTGCTCTTCCAGCCGGAGGTTTTGAATCCAGCGTGACTGAGAACTGAGTGATAAACATTTAAATCTCAACTCGCATGCAGAAGGGAGGCCAACAGACAAGAAATCTTAGCTTGTCATTTGTAGGAAGATCAAAAATCACAATTAAAAAAAATCTCTTGAAGATTAGTTTTAGAATAATGCTACATAATTATAATATATGCTTGCATAGAACCTACAGCTTGTTTCTAAACCCTTCATTTAAAGGTAGAACAGGCTAGAGGATTTCAAATGCAATCTATTTTAGAACAGCAGGGCTAATTCATGCATAGTGCACTGTAGAAATAATATCTTCTGGAAGAAGATGATTTCGAAGCAGATAAAGAATTGCTCAATAATAATTTTAATTGATTTTTCTATTGTGCCATAATTCAGAATGTGACAAAGTTCAGCAAAGAACTTTTTCCGCATAAAATCATTATTTTAGTAAAATATGTACCGTATATAGGCTGCAGTTTAAAAGAATGAAAGAGATTACTCTCTACTATTTAAATTTATATTTCTTTGTTTTGAGTCGATGCTGATGCTGTCAGTGAATTTGACTTACAGAGCTCAAAAGCAAGTTACTCTCAATTGCAGGATGCTAAATAACCCTCACACAGTGGATCTGCATTTTGTCACGGCAAAGCTGCTTCACCTCCATGAAAGGTTGTTTGGCTGTTGCAGATCCTCAGCCGTTCACTGTGTCTTCCGCAGGCACAAGGAAGTTTTGTGTTTGGGGAAGTGCAGCTTCCGGCTGGGGTGTTATTTATTGAAACTGCAGGTGTCTGGGTGCCCAGGTGAGCAGGTCACTGTGGCTTTGGCCCTCACGTTGTGCAGAGGGTGTTGGAGCTGCCGGCTTTGTGCTGGGTGACGTTTGGGTGCACGTGAAGGGCTTGGTGGTTGGGGCGACCTCGGCTGCTCCGACGTTTCTTCCCTGCCTCTTGCAGCGAGGCTCATGGATTCTTCCTGCAGGCCACCAGCAGATATGAACTGCGCCTGTCATGGTAAATATTCAAAACAAATCTGTTGCCAGCACCACATCAAAATTTCTTTTCAATATCATCATTATCTTTTCTTGTACATTATTTCAGTGTTTCAGGCCACTGTTCTTGGTTTAAAAAGAAAATCAAAACAATTTAAGGCAAATGAGCCCAGTAGGTCCTTCCTTCTGCCATCGTGGCAGGACACAGGCACCTATCAAACTGAAAAAGCCCAGTAAATTACCTGCAGGGAAAGCTATTTCCAATTGTCAAATCCCTCTTACCAAAAGTACCAGATATTTAAGATTGCATCCAAGCAATGCTAATAAAAAAGTAAGCCCAGCAGCTCAAACAAAAAAAAAACTGAATAATTTTAAGATTCAACTGATGATTCCAGCCTCTCCACAGATTATGAAGATGAATCACTTGTTTTCGCGAATTTCTCATTCTTGCCCTGTATAAAACCCACCAGCTGGTCTGGGTCGTAAAACAAATATGAATGTTTATTATGAGCCAGCTGACATTGCCAAAGGTATAAGAGTTAAAACCTGTGACCTTCTGAAGGTTGAAATACAATAAACTACAGATTAACTGGAATTCCAAAGCAAAAAGCATTTTTCAAACATACAGATGAGCCCATGGCATATATCCTTAGCTGTAATTTTCTAATGTTCTGGGATTTTTTTTTTCTAGGAAACAAATGTATTCTTCCAAGAATATATAAAGCAGTACATTTGCATATGGAGAGAATATGTAAATCCATTTCTGTTTTTCTAGCATATAAGGTGAATTTATACAACATTCCCTAAAGTGAGGCTTAAATGTAATAGAAGTTCAGTATATAAACTGAAAGCAACTTTGCTTTTGAAAACATTCAGAAAATTGCTCCTCCGTTCATGTTGTGGGAATGTCTCTCTGCTGGGACAGTGCTGTATCAGTCCTAGAGACTGCAGGACGTGTCACTGCTTTCTACAAAATACATTGGGGAAGTAGAAGTTTGGCTTGAGCCATTTATGTGTCTGGGATATTGTTTCCACTCCCAGCATAAATCTTTCCTTGCATATGCCTGTGGTTTCCCATATATGTACAATAGCTTCTAAATTTGTGTTTCTAAAAAGATTTGTATTTATTTAATAATATGTAATTCTGATCAAGCCTAAGTCCCTGATTGCTGCTGCATTTGGAAGCCTTAGAATTGCCCTTGTGCACCTGATGATTTTAATAGCCATCTTTGCATGGCTAATGTGAGTTTGACCACCCGAGAGTTTGAGGATGATTTATTGCTCAAGAAGACGCAAGGAAAAAAAAAAAAAGGAAAAAAAGAAAAGTGTTACGAAGCTGTTTGTGCTCCACAAAAGCTTCCTGCAGCCCTACATTTGTTTCGCCTCCTTCACCCATGCGGAGCCGCCCCGCTCGCTGCGGCCGTAGCGGCCTTGCTGTGGCTGCCAGTCCAAGGTGTCGGCGCCTGCTCCCTGCGGAGCACATGGCGTTTCTCCCGATCCCTTCCGTCTCGTAACGCTGCAGCCCTCCTGCTTTTGTCAAGTCACGACTCCTCGCTGCTCCCTAACCAGCAGCACTAGCACCGTGCAGTAACTGATGATCCTAAGGCTCAAGCTCTTGTTCTTTCTGCCATAGGGAGTCATGAGGTCAAGAAAACCCTCCCATGTTCCTGTGTGTGCCGAATCTCATCGCTATGAGCCTAGAATTAGCTGTCAACCCCGTCTGAATGTTTCGATTTTTCTTTTGGTGCTCACGTGCCTGTGGCTCTCTCTTATTTATAGCGATGAGCCGCTACACTTCCAAAGTGGAAGAAGTTAAACCATTGGATAGTTCAGTGGCCAAACATACTCTGGCCATATAACTTTTCCATTTTTAACTTGTTATGCAGCTCTGCATGCATTCGGTTAGAGGAGAATTTAGTACTGAATTTCCCAAAATAAGAGGTTTTATAATCAACCGAGCATATTTAATCATGCATGTAAAACTACTGGTTTTCCAAATGTGCAGGGTTTAGATAATATTTCAATATTTTGGTCTGAGTTAAGGTTAAAGAACTTGTGTAGAGTCTGTTTTGAAGACCCTTTAAAAATATTATCTCTGTCTATATGCACAAGTATGAAATTGGGATTTCATTGCAGGAGAGGGGAGAAGCCCTTGGTGCTTGCAAAGCACAAGTTCTTTTGGCTCCACAGTGACTGAGCTGTTGAGATTTTGATTATGTTTGAATTTTTTTTTTTTGGCCTAGGAATACACATATCATGGATCTAGGTTGTAAAACCTCTGTCAAAAATGTCAGGAGAAAAATATTTGAAATCCAAGTGCGCTTTATTAGAGCAAATACTTTGTAAATCTCAAATTCGGGGGCTTCAGAATGTGTTTTTATTTTGTGGTCTGAAGAAAAGCCAAGAGGATTTAAAATAGTAATAATAATAATTTAAAATTCATAATGAAACCCTGGGGTAGAATGTTTTATTACTCTTGCTGCCTGTTGCCAGGAAAGCCTCATAATCATGGCTATATGGGGGGTACAGAGTCTCAGATCCATCTGATTGAGGGTGAAGAATTGAAGCTCAACCCAGTGGCAGGCAGTCTTTTCTGTCAGAGTTGTCTCTTCTTTCTTTTTTTTTTTTCTTTTTTTTTGGTTGTTTCTTCTTTCTTTTTTAAATAATTATTTGGTTGAAGGCATCGCTGGTTATCTGCCTGCATCAAGATGGTTCCAGACGATGCTGACTTGGGCAGAGGTTTCAACTAAAGTCTACAAAAGTTTTGTGCTCTGGTGAGAACATTCTGGATTTGCAGAGAAACTGTCT